TCTCTGATCACTCTCTAGCCTTGACTAGGACACGAAACCCGCCTCCCAGCCGCCTATCTGGTTGAGTCAATGGATATATAGTCATTTTTGAGCAATTTTTTCTTCGTAACTGTCTTTACTGGCTCTCGAGTAAACAGGGGTAGGAGGTTGCGTGTGACGTGCACTTTCACAGTTTCAAGGGTGAAATTGACCTGAGTCTGATACAAAATTTTTTAGAGTAAACAACTACGGTGAAAGCGTTACCAGAAATCCATGGACATGGAATCGAGTAAGTTCTCATCCATCTTTTGGGTTTCTTCTAGTAGTGAATATTTTTAGTATGCCAATATTATCTATCTGGATGCACCAGCTGGAGTTGGATTCTCCGTCCGTCTCGATGGTATATGGAACTACACAGACGCAGAAGTTGCACAGGATAATTATGCTGCCTTGAAAATTTGGTTTCAGGTCATTTCTATGATTTTCCACTTTACTAATTACCCAGCTGTTCTTTAGAAGTTCCCTGAATTTCTCAGCAACGATTTCTACGTAGCTGGCGAATCTTATGGTGGGACCTATGTTCCAATGCTTTCTTCCTTGTTGTTAAACGACGCCTTCTTCGCAAATTTCAAGGTGAGGCAAACTCATTAAAAGCATAATAGGGAAATATTTTGTAGGGTATGATAATAGGCAATGGATGTGTGGATGACATTCTGAATCAAAATTCTATCGTAGAATTCAATTACAACCATGGGTTTATAGATGAAAGGTTGTCAAAACTTCTTTCTCTGCAAAAAAATTGACTTCGGCTTATTGCTTTGTAAACTGCACCTTTATTCAGTTATTACCGTGAAGCCATCAAAAAATGTTGCAATAACGATCCAGATAACTGCGATTTCTACGATATGACAGTGAACGAGACAGGATTCTGCTACAACGAGGTAAATTTATTCTGAAGGATTCAACGAAATTGTAGACTCATGGGGACTTCAAATCCATCTTAGTTTGAGGATAGTTTATGTCACTAGATTTCACTAACT